CAACGTGAGTTGTATTTGTGGGGGGGGGGCGTAAGAAATGAAAGCTTTCAGATTTTATATTACGCCTAAAGAGGTGTTTTTTATTTATTTATTATTTTTTTCATTTGCATATACATACAGGTTTCGAGACCATTTAGGCTAATGTCCCTTTGGGTTAAAAATATTTAGAAACAGCATACCTTTAGAATTTCCGATAAATAGTTTCATGCGCTGGAGATAAAAATATTTTTATTCTGTAGAGTATGTTGCTACTGCTGGCTTTGAAATCGTTGAGTTTCTTAATAAAAAATTCATTAAAGTTTAAAAATATGAAATAGATAGTAAAGCAAATTTGAAATTCAAGATTCGGGCTTCAGTGCCCATATTTGGGCGGAGGATTACATTATTCAAAGTTTGATCGCTCTAGGTATCTCTGTTTTCCCACAATGCAAAAAGCATACATACTGCTACGAAATGTCGAGCTGCGGTAAGATAGCTTCCCCGCAAGACGGGTTTAGGGTTGTCAAAAAATGACAAGGGAAGGCAGGATTGCCGTATTTGTCACACAATCGTCCATTTGGCGACAAAATTGGCGATATGCTGTAGATGGATGTAGAACATTCTCGAACAAATTCTTACCAGTTTGGCCCAGACTGTTCTTGAAGGCAGCCCAAAGTCTGTATGAACCATGCTGGTACGCGGAGTAGCCAGTGTCTAGCAGTCCAGTCGATCACGAGTCTATCCAATGTCTCGTACTATCGAGTTGATCGTCAGTCTAGTGTCGAGTTGGTTGTTGGAACATCGCGAATCTAGTGAGTGTAGCGCGGAGAGTCTCCAGAGTACGTAGAGTTCTGAGAATGACCGAACCGAGTTGGGAGCTCTGCTGCTTTACCGTGAAGCTGTCTTCACTGTTATAGCCTGAAGGCTGTGTTGCTGATTGTTTCAGAGTGCTTGTCGTAATTTTTTGACAACTGTAAACCAGGGCTTAATTTCTAAGATGAGAAGTGCCGGAGCCCTATGGAAGACCGTCAGCACAAGATACTGAATAAATAAAATGACTATTAACTCATATTATTTTGAATGAATAGTTATCATTATAAAATTAATTAATAGCTGTTATTAATGTTTATAAATTGTTATTTATCATATTATTAGATAATTAATTATAATTTAGTGATAAATTTAGATAAGCATTAATTATAATTAAATTGATAATGATTAGATATTTATTATTTATTGAATAATTAATAATTAAATTGAATAAACTGTAAAGATATAAATTGAAATTTCTAGGCTATTTTTATATTTTATTGTAAAAAAATTTCGAGATAAAATTTCTACTGAAATTGTTATTCATTACATACGAATGCCGCAGCCTTCTTATTCGGGTTCCGGTGGTTCATCGAGAATTATGATTTATTACAAAAATAAGAACACTGGGTCGGAATTCGTGGGCTCCGGCCCATTAACTCGATCGTAGGGTGGAGTTCTTTTATCATCACAAAATTAATTACTTGAGTATAGCTGATGAAAATCCGGGACGAACAGACTGAAGGTATGAGTGGTGGAAAGAAAAATGAGGGGAATCTGGTGAGAGAGAACGTTTCTTTGACTGCGCTCTCTGCTGATATAATTATAGCCATCAAGCAGAGGATGTCAGCGGTAAAATGGGTCCTAATTTGGCTCCTAAAGGATGAAGTACGTTGCTGGCTTCTCCCCCCCCCCTTATGGGTACGGTGAAGACGATCATAGGACGTGCTGGAGCAGTTTCTCGTAATTTCACTCTTATTGTACTCGCTGTCACTTAACGCCTTTAGAACACAAATTTCCCTTCTGCGAGAATCCTATAAGCATCGATACAATACGCTAGATACAATGCATGACGAGAAATGTAACGCGTCCTAAACAACTCCCCCCGATTTATTGCTTTTCTTAGAGGGAAAGGTTTCCGCATGTGAGTGAGGGACTTACTTGAATGTCTCATGTTCTCATGAATTCGTATTTCAAGGGAAATAGAGTATTGCAAGGTCTGCTTATTGTTAAACTAAAACGTTAGGAATTCTAATTTTTTCCCTCTTGAAATTGTAGTTCAGTTTTATAAAAAGAAGTACCGCAGCTCATCTTATTTAGGGCTCCGGTGCGCTCCGGCTAAAATTGTAATTTATCTTAAAAATTGAGAAGTAAAAAAAGAGAAAAAGTTTTCTATGAAAACATAGGACGACACCGAAGATCTAAAATTTAGATCCAATATTTAGTAATGACACATTAGAAAACTTTCACTAGCAAAAGCAGATCTATGTGGCAATTGCTACGAACAAAATCACGATTTTTCTTTCTTAATGAACACAAAATCTGCCGCTGTTCTTAGCATTGTACAAAAACTGATTAAAGTATTTTTTTCTATTAAAAGGTACTGATAATAAAGATTTTTTTTTTTTTTTTTTTTACATGTAAGTATTTTGTACTATTTGCATTTAAGAATTAGTAACTGAACTTTCGGATATTAATTAGTTACTATTAAAAGTTAATTCATTATTAAAAAATAATTTCTTTCTATCAGGCTGTGGAGTCAGAAGGGAAATGACCGACTCCGACTTCCTCACATAATAGAGAGAGGGTTTTTTTTATTTTTATTTTTTTTTTTATTTATTTATTTATTTATTTTTTTTTTATTTTTTTTTTTTTTTTTTAAACTGCTGGTATTCGGAGACCTCTGTAACTTGAATTATCAGCCGCAAAGCCATGAAATTTTGTACAGGGTCTATTGACGACATGGAAAAAAGGAATCCGTGGAAAAACAAAAAAATTCGTTCCAAAAGTTGCCGATAGGAGAAAATGTGGCTCTTTACACTTTAAGATAGTTAAAATTTTGCATAAAATACGGGAAAAAATTTCAAAATGCAAAATCTCAATTATGTAGTTGATACCAGCACCAGTATTTTGAGTTCCATTTAGCTGTAGATAATGCGGTGAACAGAATGCAATGCTTAGTCCGAGAAAGTGGAAGTCATATAGAAAATGGCCGATGTCTTCCCCGGTAAAGCGATTCTACTGAATAAAAACAAAAGAACAAAAAATAAAAAGGAAGTAAAATAGAATGTTCTCTTTTTTTATAATTTGTGACCATTTACAGAAGTTATTTTTTTAGAATAAACCACATTTTTGGAAAAATTAATTCTTTGTTATTCATTTAACTGTTTACTGTAACTTTTTAAATTGGTCAGAAATTTTACCGTGCAGTTAAACTTAAAATATAGATCAAAAGCTTCATATCCCGCTTATCGGCAACTTTTGGAACTAAATATTTTTTCGCGGATTCTTTTTTCTCATTTCGTCAATAGTCCCTGTAACAAAATTTCGTGGCTTTGCGGCTGATAGTTCAAGCTACAGAGGTCTCTGACTATCGTCAGTTTAAAAAAAAAAAAAAAAAAAAAAAAAAACCCATTTGATAAACTTCAGAGCTGAGAAGAGTCTTTCCACACTAACTTGTGTAGGAGGAAGAGCTGTTTCTGTTAGGGCTACTTCTTTTAACTTTTCAAGATAGATTTTTATAACTTCTAAAAGAGGTGTCTTGCAAGTGCAATCATATTTCTCTGTTTCTTCAAAGGCTGTGTAGAAATCTAGTTTGTATTTTTTCATTTTTATATCTAAAGGCTCTTGGTTCTTTATTTTTATTCGCTTTGCCTTAGCCTTTTCAATATTATTCAAAAATATTTCTCAAAATCTAATTCATCACTGGAAGATGATGGTAGAGACTCTATTGCAATGTCTGTAGTTTCACTGTCCTGATTCGAATTCTCCAATTGTTCTGAGAATAACTTCATTCTTTATGAAAGTTCATGGATGGCTGGCTTTCTTTGCCTTTTTAATTTGTTCGTCATCCAAGAAAATTCGCTGTTTCTGATCTCCATATATTGAACCCAGCAAGGTCTCATTGTCTAGCAAACTAGTTTCTCTTTTCTTGATTGAAGCAATAATTCCTTCTGCAATAAATTTTACCATTTCAGAAAGAACAAACATCACGTTTTTCCATTCTCGCCTCCTGTTAATTCTTCAGATTGCAGCTTTTTGTGGCTATAGACGGTGTAGAAAGAAGAGTTTCCAATTCTGCAAGATCATTTTGTAACTAAATGAATCAGTTTAATCAGTAATTGCAAATATCACATCCATCCGCCTTCCTTATATTTATTTATTAATATGTCAATAAAATAGAAACTAACTATTCATTAATGTATATAGTCCATAAATAAAAATAATAACTCAGTTTGTCATTAATGTTTTTCAATTCATTTTTAATTTCATTTCAAATTCAAACTGTCCAACAAAAACTGGAGTCGGAGTCGGCCTGTTTTAGCGACTCCAGCTCCGACTCCTTTTAACCCAAAATCTGCCTGACTCCGATTCCACAGCCCTGCTTTCTATACATTTTTGTCATTTAGAAAAATCTTTATATCATTGAAAAAATTCTGATTTCTTAAGAAAAGTCTCCTTATATTTCAGTGACATAGGTTGGCAAGTATGCCACTCCCAGCATGCCCTTATTTTTTCATTTGCATCATTTAGATTTTCAAGTGAATATTAATAACATTAAAATGCGCAAAATTTTAAGGAGTCTAAAAATTGCCCTAACCAGAAAATTTATTTATAATGCATTTAAAAATCAAGATTAAAAAAAAATTCATTTTTATAGCAAAAGTGTAAGGAGTTCCTATTATTTTTTTCAAGCTAGTTTCTTGTTCTATGCTATTGTTTGACTGCTATTTTGGAATAAATTATTTACTTTTAAAAGAGAAAAAAATTCTGATTTTAAAATAAATTACGTAAATTATTTTTCATATTGAATAGTGGATAAGCAGATAATTTATTAAAAGATCTTTTATATAAGATCCTTCATATTTTATGTAATAAATTTCAAGCCCATTTCTTTTGGATTCTTAAATTGTTTAGGTAACAATATATATATTATGCTTTAAAACTATTTTATTTCTCTATTAAATTTTGTATGCAAATTTTTACCATGTTTTAGGCCAGTTACACAATCTGGAAGACCTTTATCTGGTGTTATTCGGCCTGGTACTCAGTCTGGCAGGCCTGGAACTATGGAGCAGGCAATCCGTACACGTACAGCATACACGTCCAGACCAATTACCAGTTCTTCAGGTCGATTTGTTCGCTTGGGGACGGTAAAAAGTTATGCAGTGATATATTGTATTTTGTCTAATTCTGCAAAGTTGCATAACCTGTAATATAAAAACAGATGATTAATTTTTTCCGTCTGTTCTGTTGACGTTCTAAGTATGATTATTATTCTGCATGTTCAACTCCATTTTTGAAGCAGTATAAAATATTATTTATATTTTTGAATATTTTTCACTTTCAGACTATGTAATGCATGTACTGTTTGTCTTTGCAATTCTTGGATGGAGTGGAAGGACTGATATTCCTATCATGTTCATTATATGGAGGGAGGATTCTTTTCAGTATATATTATTATTATCCTTTTGACCGTGAAACTTTTTAAGTTGAGAAAGTTATAGATAACATCTGTGCTTTCATTTGACTTAACCCGGATTGATTCTCGAGATTGGCAGGTAAATATACACTCTGATGACTGAGAAAACACAGGATTTACTACTTGGTTAGGAAGTTAAGCAGTTCAAAGTGATGCCATTTCGATTATGCCAGAAAAATTCGAGCGCCTCGAGGAGGCAATGCTGAGAGGTCTTGAGAGGCTGAGAGATTTGCTTATCATCAAGAAAAGATTTGAAAAGCATATAGAAAATATGATGAAGATGAAATTTGAAGATTAGAAATTTATGAAGATTAGAAATTTAAGGAAGCCAGTCTGAAGTCCTGCCAAATATATATTATTCAGACAGGAGGTGACTTATCTCAGACATGTCATCTCTGCCGATAGTGTGTGTATGGATCCAGAAAAGTTTCAGCAGTTAAAGATTGAAGACAGTGCAAAAATATCCATCAGCTGAGAAGTTTCCTGGGGCTTTCCACCTACTATAGGAGATTTGTGAAGGATTTTTCTTCCATCGCAAGACCTTTCCTTAGATTGACAGAAAGCGAGCAAAAGTTCTTGTGGACAAAAGAATGTGAGGATGTATTTTACAGATTGAAGGAGACTTTAACATCTGAGACAATCCTGACGTATCCTCAGGTTGTCAGACCATTTATTCTTGACACGGGTGCAAGCAATGAGAGTTTCGGTGCTGGTTTATCCCAAGACATAAATAATCAAGGACATGCCATAGAGTACTGGTGCATGTGTTTACCTAAACCAGAGAGAAATTATTGAGTCACCAGAAAATAGTTGCTCGCTATAGTTAAAGTCATATAAAATTTCCATCATTACGGCAGAAAATTCCTGCTCATCTCAAATCGTTGATCTGGCAATTAAATTTCAAGAATCCCAAAGGTCAAATAATAAAATGGATGCAGAGACTGCAGGAATATTATATGACTATCTGGTCATCGGAAAGGATTGCTGCACGGAAACGCTAACGCTTTGTCTGGAAGACCCTGTTCAGAAAGCTGCCAGTATTGTTTCAAGGTTGAAGAGAAATATAAGCTGGTTAATGTGGTTGCACGCCAAATTACAACTTTATTATCGTCTGATCCAAACCCGTGGAGTAATGAAGAAGTAAAAAAAAAAAAAAGCCTCTTGGAAGACAAACAACATTAAACAAATAACTGGCTTAATGAAATCTTCAAATAGGAGACCTACCTCGCGAGATATTTTGATCTATAATCCTATGACAAAACAATATTGGCTCTCTGAAACTCGCTCTGTATTTGATTGCTTCTTGTACTGGAAGTTTAAATCATATGACGAAAATTCATTCCAATGGCAGCTGCTATTTCACATAGAGCTCAAGAGTGCTTCTACTGAAGTAATGCAAGTGCTAACTTTCTCTGTTGGTCTCTAGAAATCAACAGGACCTAGGAGCAGAGGTTACCTCTGTTCTTACTGGCCTAGTTGAGTGCTGCCTACGAGACTACTAGCTATTCCACATCCCAGATGCTCTTCGGTCATGAACTCCATCTGCTTTTTTTCTGCACTGGTGCTACCAGTGACAGAGCATAACCTGTAATATAATGGTTAAAACCATTAAGTAGTGGCAGTTTGTTCTGGGATTTGAACCTAAATGACAGATTGGCTATTTGATTGTTTTTTGGGGGGGGAGTTCCCTATGTGTAAATGTAAATAGAGCCAGTCCTCCATGGCGTCATCTTAGTCAGATAGTCCCCTCAAACTTTGTAATATCCCAATAGCCATAATCACCAGTTATACACTCTATAAATCAATAATTTAATTTCCATTTATACATACATAGGAATTAGTGATTTTATTTCCGATGGCACTGGACACTACTAACTGGAACATGAGAAGCCATTGTTAAATCAAGATAGGTTTTCTTCCATATTTTAACATATTTGTATCTCTACATGTGAGAAAACCTAAAACAAAGATGTATAATAAAAGATCAGCTATATAATGATGCTTTGGGAGAAAATAAAACAGCGTTCCCAACAATTCCGTTGGATATTTTCCAGCTTTACTAAAGCAGTTATTTGCTGTAATTAGAAGTGTTGTTAGATTTATGATAATCACATTGAGCATCTATTGTAATATTAAAAATCAAAGGGGACTTATATTCATCTTTTGATGTCTGTTTAAATTTAGTATTACAACTTTTAATTGGTTTTTCTTTTATTAAATATGTGTGTTGTTTATGTACGCACTAATGTACACTAATCGAATCACGAATGTCGCTGCCTACGCATCTAACTATCTAACGACGTATCTAAATGCCACATCTAAAATTTCTGCAAGCGGTGGTTCAGCTATAATTCTATGATCAAATACTCAATCTAGTTTTAAAAAGATTTATTAAAATACTAAAATTAATCTAATCTAGAATCTAGAATCGAATCTAATGTTACATCTCATGAGCAGCGTTTTTGCTGCTTCATAACAAATCGAAAGTCAGGTTCTCACTGTTGCCATTCTGAGGCAGAGAAAAGTTTGTTTCTAATCAAACCGGAACATCGGCATAGTGAAAGTTTCTACTCAAACCGGAACATCCCGGCCTCCGTTGGACGATTGTCCAACATCATTTGGAAATGGGAGTGGACTGATATTGGAGACGGCTCGGCGAAAGATTCCATCTGAAGTTCTGACGTCTACGACTCGTACTAGTCCATTTGGACCAGGAATGGTCTCCTCGATGCGAGCTAGTGTCCACTTCATGGGTGTCTTGTTTTTATCCTTTAACAAGACTAGTTGTCCTGCCTTGAGATTGGATCTCACTTGATTCCATTTTGAGCGGTTCTGCAAATGATTAAGATACTCCACGCTCCAACGGTTCCAGAAATTAGCTCTAAGTTTTTGAATTAAGGTCCATCTAGAAGACAAGGTCAAAGAATCTACAGAATCATTCGGTTCTGGTATCGACAAAAGTGGAGCTCCTATTAGGAAATGACCTGGAGTCAAATGCTGAAGATCTGTTGGATCAGCAGAAATAGGTGATAGAGGTCGAGAGTTCAAGCAGGCTTCTATTTGTGTAATTAATGTATACAGCTCTTCAAAGTTTAAAATTGTCGTTTTCGCGACCTTTGTCAAAATTCTCTTCATTGATTTAATATTAGCCTCCCATAATCCGCCAAAGTGCGGGGAAGAAGGAGGAATAAATCTCCATGTTATGCATTCTTCGGAACTAAAGCGCTGAATAGGATCCGATCTACAAATTCTAGAGTTTATCAAGAACATTCTTCTTTCCCTTGAAGTTCGTAGCGTTATCACTCAAAACAATGGATGGTTTAGATCGTCTGGCAATAAACCTTCTAAGACATGCTAGAAATGCTTCAGTAGACAAATCCGATACTACTTCTAGATGAATAGCCTTTGTACTAAAGCAAATAAATATCGCTATGTATGATTTAACGTAACTCTAGATCTTTTCAAATTAGGCTTGGTGATAACTTGGACCTGCAAAGTCTAGTCCTATTTTTTTCGAATGGTCTTGTTATTCCTACTCTATCTCTAGGTAAGTCTCCCATCATTTGGTTTCTTGTTCGAAAGCACGTCATGCATTTACTTATAACGCGTCTAACTCTATCTTGTCCGGAAGGTATCCAGTATAATTGTCTAATAAGAGAAAGTGTTGTTTGAACGCCCAAATGAAGAGATTTTTTATGATAATAATCTATAAGTAATTCTGTGAAATGATGTCTTTTGGGTAAAAGAAGTTGATGTTTGTGGTCATCTGAAAGACTGGAATAGCGTAGTCTCCCACCAACTCGTAAAAGTTCATCTTCATCCAGAAATACATTTAAGGAATAAACCTTACTATTACTTGGAACTGATCGTTTCGACTGCAGGCACTTAATTTCAGGGTGAAATTCAGAATGTTGTACACATTTGACTAGCACCTTTGCATTCTGTAGTTCAGAAGCACTCAAAAAACTTTCTTTTCTTAATGGTGGATTGATTCTACAGTTGTTCGCAGTAGTTCAAATCAATTTGCCGAATGACGAATACCTTTTAATGAATTCGTTCTCAATGGAATTTTCACCTGTGACTGTTGAGTTCACTACAGCTCCCCTTCGAAGTTCAAGCTCTTCATTATCTTTGAAATCTCTTGCTGATCCTGCAAGTTTAGGCCACGAATCGATGCTCTGTAATAGCCACTTAGGTCCATGCCACCACATGTCACTATTTCGTAGTTCAGACAACGTTCGTGGAATTTGTCTTTGTTCCTCTGGTCAGCATATCAGCCGAATTTTCATCTCCAAGGCAATAATTCCAGGACTCAGGTGTTGTTTTCTCTCGTATTTCCATTACTCGATGTTGGATGAATGGCTTCCATTTATTTAAATCGCCCTTTATCCTGAAAACCCTGTAACGTAACAGAAGAGTCTGACCAAAAATATACATCCATCTTATCTGGAGTCTTTTCTCTAACTGTTCTTTCACATTCGAGGCTAATCTTGCTCCGATGAGCGCCCCCATCAGCTCTAATCTTGGAAGGGACAGCTTCTTCAGTGGAGCTACTCTGGTTTTGGAAATGACAAAACTACTTCCTATTTCACTGTCCGTCGTGACGTATCGCAGGTATATCACAGCTCCATATGCCTTCTGACTTGCGTCGGTAAAGCAATGCATTTGAATATCTCTCAATTCAGACTTGTTAGTCTTTCGGAAGTAATGTCGCGGAATGTTTACATCCTGAATCGCTGACAGTTCATTAATCCATTTTTTCATTCTGTTTTCAAAGTCCAATGGTAACGGATCATCCCAATCTACCCCAAATTGCCAAATTTCCTGCATTAGTATTTTTGCCCTAATAGTGAATGGACTTATGAATCCAATGGGATTGTAAAGCTTTCCAATGGTTTTAAGAACTTCTCTTTTTGTCATTAACTTTGTTTTCCCTTGATTATTTAGATTTTGTGATTCTATCTTCAGAAGGTCTTCCTTGTAATTCCATTTATATCCCGATACCTTCTGTTCCAGAACTTTCTGGATTTCACCATTTTCGTATTCGTCAAAAACTTCCTGCAGATTCCCACATTTTGTTTCCCATTTTCGCATGTTGAAACCAGCAGCCTTCAATATATATCTAATATCTTCATATATGAGTTTAGCTTCATTTTCGTCTTCATCCCCACATATTAAATCGTCTACGTATAAACATTCGTTCAATAGTTTATAACTGCTTTCTGTTTGTTTCTTTAAAGGTATTTATGTGATGTTTGATAGTAGCGGCAAGCAAAAATGGGCTGGATGTAGCTCCAAACAAAACGCGAATCATCCTAAGTATTTTCGTGTTAGGTTTCCCCTCCTTCCACAAAAATCTTACAGCATCCCTATCTTCAGGTGACAGAGAAATTTGGAGAAAGGCCTGTTCAATGTCGGCAGTAAATGCTATGCTATGTGTACGAAATTGTATTAATATCTCTAACAATGGTGGATTTAAATTAGGACCGGAATAGAGACAATCGTTTAAAGAGTATTCATTTTTCGAATGGCTGGATGCATCAAATACAACTTTCACGGATTTGTCAGGTCGAATAACTGGCTGGTGAGGCATGTAATAAATTCTTCCTGTTTCTTCAGAACTTGGATCAATTTCCTCAGCTATACCCATTTTTAAATGATGTTCTATAACTGAGTGATACTGCTGATGAAGCAGTGGATCATTTCTTAACCTTGTAACCAGTTTATTAAAGCGAACTTCTGCATTTACGTAATTTGTTTTTAATTCAGACGAATGTTCATTCCAAGGGAGTTTAACCTCATATCGCGTTTTCTTTAAATTTGATAGTTCTGTTCTGTTAAAATTCTCTAAAATGTCATTATCTATTTTACATACTAATTTCCTTCCCTTGTTCAATTCCCAATGTTTCTAATTCCCAAAATTGCTTTAACTGTGTTGAGACCAATTTGTCGTCAACAATAATGTCCATGTTTAACAATTTACCGTTAGAATCAGTCCGGCCTTGAAGGCACCATCCAAATATTGTTTCGGAAGCTATAAGTTTATTTTTAAAACGTTTAAGTCTACCAGTTATTACTTCATGATAGTAATCTGCTCCGATCAAAACAGCAATATTTTTATCACTGAATTGACAAGAATCAGCTAATTGTAATCCTATTATCTCTTTGTTAATTTTGGAAACTGGGATATCAGGGAAAGGCAAATTAGTTGCACATATTTGGTTAGTTTCAAAAGCTTCAATTTCTATATTTAGGGATGGTTTACTTCTGTTTTCTAGTTTAACTTTCAGAACATTGTAAGTTTGTCTGTTGCCTGGTTAACCCCAAAGGCAAATACGGACAAAGTCTCCTTTCGAATAACTGGTAATTTACACTTCTCTGAAATGTCCCGAATTATAAAACTTCTCATCGACCCATTGTCTAATAGAATACGAACTGGTTCTAAATTATCCTTCTCAGAAAATGGACGTATCATCACAGTACACGTTTGTAGCAATGCACTGCGGAAAGTTTCGGTTTTTAATTGACTAATCTGAACATCTTCTTTACTGGATGGAATTGTCGACCCGACCTTGTTTTTCTCCGATTTGGTTTCGAGTTGGAAACAAATAGACCTATTGTGTTTTTTATTACATATTTCGCACATTTTTCTTTCCTTACACTGCTTAATTTTATGCTGAGATTTTAGGCACGAAAAACATCGGGCTTGAAATTTTAAAATATTTCTTTTCTTTCCTTACACTGCTTAATTTTATGTTGAGATTTTAGGCACAAAAAACATCGGGCTTGAGATTTTAAAATATTTCTTTTCTCCTCCACGGTTTTAATTTCGCAACGCTCCGAATCGTGCAGTTCGTCACAATATATGCATTTACTGCTAGCGACTGGAGCAACATATTCATACGTTTTAGGCGAACTTCTTTCAATCTGTTTACTGCGCTTGTTGTTTACATTATCGTGAGCGGAGTGGAGAGGATCGTTTGATTTATGCCTCCAGTTATGAGTCATTCCCGCTCGGTGTTTTGTTTTTGTTTCTCTACTCTCATTTAACTGCGTAGCTCTTTCGCGGCTTTCTATTTCTTTACGAATAAATTCCATTAATTCGTTAACGTTCCATGTTTGGTCACTGTTTCTACTGCGACTGTATTCTAATGTTATCTCTGATGGAATTACTTTTAACAATATTGGGCAAAGTAAACTACCATAAGTTTCTGATACGACGTTCATTGACTTTAAGCATCTAATTTGAGTTTCACACTGATCATATAAATTCCTAAGATTTTCTATATCCCTTACATTTCTAACAGGAGAAAGATTTAACAGTTTATTCATGTGAGCATTTATTACCAAATCTTTTCTCCCAAACCTGTTAGTTAACAATTCTATAGCTGAATCGTAGTTCTCATTTGTAAGCGAGAGTCCGGAAACGGCATTATAAGCTACCCCACCTAGTAATGACTTTAAGTAACTGAACTTATTTACTTTCGATAATGAGTCATTGTTATGGATAGCTGCCTCGAATTGACTCCAAAATTCCTGCCAATTGAAAGAATCACCAAAAAATTTAGCGATTGTCAATTTTGGAAGGCGAATAATTTTATTATTTTCAAGTTTGGAATCTATAGCGGTTTCATTAGGAATCCGATACTTTCCTTATTCGAATTTTAGAGTTTGTGTAATTTCCTTAATTTTTTTCTTGCTCTAAATTGCCACAGTTGGATTTTTTTCTTCATATTCTAGAGCGGATGAAACTTCAGTTCAAATTCATCCTCTGGGACCTTCAAATCCTGTTCTATTTGAGTGTTTAAATCACTCAGAGTTTTTGCCTTTTCGTTTAATATGTCTAAAGTTTCTTCTATTACATTTATACTAACGGCATCTTTGCTTAATTCTGTCTCAATTTTCTTTAGTACCTTGGACACTGCGGTCGTTAATACTTTGCGTTTCGATTTAAGCTTAGCGACAGGATCTTCCATAATTACACTTTAAAATAGAAAACTTATCCTACCTGTTTTTTGCAGGCTTCGCACACTTCACACCGTGCTAATCCATATTTTCGAATATTAGCCGGCTTCCCGGCCGATGCACCAAAAAATGTTTATGTACGCACTAATGTACACTAATCGAATCACGAATGTCGCTGCCTACGCATCTAACTATCTAACAACGTATCTAAATGCCACATCTAAAATTTCTGCAAGCGGTGGTTCAGCTATAATTCTATGATCAAATACTCAATCTAGTTTTAAGAAGATTTATTAAAATACTAAAATTAATCTAATCTAGAATCGAATCTAATGTTACATCTCATGAGCAGCGTTTTAGCTGCGTCATAACAAATCGAAAGTCAGGTTCTCACTGTTGCCATTCTGAGGCAGAGAAAAGTTTGTTTCTAATCAAACTGGAACATCCGCATAGTGAAAGTTTCTACTCAAACCGGAACATGTGTATTTTGGTCATCTCTGTACATCAATGATGCTTTTTATTTTCAGGCATCTATGCTGTCTCAACCTGATGGACCTTTTATTAACTTTGCAAGACTAAATATTGCAAAATATGCTGCTATGCCTCAAGTAGCCAAGTATCTGTTTGAATATGCATACTATCATGATAATGATATCAGGCAGGTAGGTATTTGTTATTAAATCTTAGACTTTTTTTTTTTCCAAAGTAAATTTTGTTGTTTTAAACATAGATGGTATGTGAATCTTTGTCATCTTTCTTAAATTTTAATAGAGCAAAATATAGTACAGATTTAGATCAATATGCTCAATTCAAATGTGAAAATGGTAATATTATGAGTTTCTACAACTACCATGTAATTGCAACTGAATTAATGTCAGTCCATTTGTAAATTTCCCATTTAATTAGTTCAAATTGTGTAGAAATTTTAGCTAATTAACTAATTATGTTAAATTCTGATAAAATTAATATAATAAAGGGATCATTTGTAATTTTTAAACATCATCATAAATAGAATTTTAGAAGCTTAGAACTTCAAATATTATTATGCTTTATGATCACTTAGAGATTAATTTCTGTTGTGTGTAAGAAGACATTTCCTTGTTTGTGCACCTTCACCAACTCCTATTGCAGATGTTGTGGAGGTTCTATATCATGGCTTCTTGAACAACTTCAGCAGTCACAGATTGGTGCCCTTTCATGTCTGTTTTGAGCCTGGGAACAAAAGAAGTTGTAAGGAAACAGAACGGAGTTGTATAGTGGCTCTGACAGCATTGGTACTTTGTTGTTTGTACTTTTGCTTAAACAAATAGTATAGTTTGAGCACTTTCTGATTACTTACCAACCAAAAATTAGCCATCGGTGATTAGTGACTGATATTTCATTAGTCTAACATGTTAAAAACAGCAGTCATTTTCAAAAATGGCACTTCGCTCAGAACTACATAAAACATCAACCAATAAAACAACAAACAATAAACACTTATCTTTATTTTTATTTTTGTTGTTCTTCTTCCCATGTTCATTGCAATCTGTTTTAGCTTCAAAAACATCAGAGAATTTCAGAAATTTGGCCTTGTACACAACTTGGAACTACTCATACTATTGTTTTCTCATCCACACGGCAATCTGTTTTTGCTTACAAAAACATCAAAAAATTGCATAAATTTGGCATTTAATTCTCTACTGTTTGGCAAAATGCCATATTTTTGAAGAAATGCAATGCTTTCTTTTTCATCAGCCAACATACTCCACAGTGCCATTACAATTCTTTGCAAGGTAAAAAAAAATGTGTGCAAACTTATCAAACACTAATCAAAACAAGCACTAACCAGAACAATAACCGTCAAATTTGAAAAGACTAAATCCGCACGTATGTGCTCTGCATGTACACTCATACCAGTGTTGCTACTTAAATACTTTTTTTTACATTATAGTTTGCCTGTCTCGGTAGCTAGTGTGTTGTGTGGTAATTTCTTTTCAGGATAGGGTAGAAAATCAGAAAGTATCCATTATTTCTCATACTATTCATCTGCACAGAGGTTCATTCACTCATTTCACTCATAAAATCATTCCAGTCATTCCCACTGCTTGGAGTCAACTGTGGTTAGTTGCAGTGTGTTGCTAAGCCACCCTATTACATTTCATCACCACAAGTTCTTCCACCTACCATACCTGCACGATGTGCTATAGCCATTTAGATTACTTACTTGTGAATTCCTGCACATCCATTGAAGAGATTGATTTGGTGGAGGCTCTGTTTATTTTGTTAGGTCTGTTTATAGGTGGAGGCTCTGTTTATTGAGATTGAATTAGTGGGGGTATCTATTTATCTCAAGCTTAATAATAATAATAAGCTTAATTTAAATAGCTACCTCTGTGTTCACAGAAGGGTATAGATGATATTCTGTATCCTTATATTCATCCTTATGTATGTGCTATAGAAGAAAATTGTGCTGCAAGGTGATAATGCTGTTTTACTTAGAACTCAGTATAGATATAACATTTAAGTAGAAGCTATTATGTGTCGTATATATAAGTTATTCTTTGGAATCTGTTAAAGTTCCAGTATGTTCTAATTCTCCTTAGAATATACTATCACCAAATGCCACAGTCTTTTGGCTTTAAATAATAAATTTAATGTACAGGGACAACTTTGAACTTACAAAGAAAAGGTAACAGGAAAAAAACAATGCAAATGAAGATCTTTCCTCATCAATTTTTTTCTGGTTTTGTCAATATTGGTCATAAAAAAAAAGATTGCTCTCTTTGAGGAGAAGGTATGGTACTAAATATATTAACAATTCTGCTTACTTATAAAATTCCGAATATAATTGATGATTCCATTCCTTTATGTAATGCCATAAAAGAAATGTTTAATGAAAACTCTAATTGTGAGCTAATGTTAGGACACAAATGATTTTGTGTGTGTGTGTGTGTGATTAGAAAGTTCAATATTTCTCCCATAATCAATTGGAACCTGTATAGGCTTCTAATATTTAGAGATATACTACTATTTGCCATTCATTAACAGAAAGGAGCTTGTAACTGTTTTAAAGGAACAGGAGTCATTATATTTATTAAAATGATTAACTTAATTTAAATAACATGGACAACATCACTGCCAGATATGTATTGTTTGGAAGGATATTTACAATGTATTGAATACTTTATTCTAAAACTTATTTGATTTGCGTACTTTATTTTGCAACTTATTTTATTTGCATACTTTACTCTAAAACTTATTTGATTTCAATTTTGCTTACAGGCTAATTTTTTGATGAAAAATGCTCATATTATAAAGTGCTTTTGTGCTGTTCAAGAACTGACAAAACTTTATGTTTTAATGAAACGTCTTTGTGTTTTATATATGTAAAATATTTCCTTAAATATTAAATTCTTACCGAATAAAAAAATAAAATAAGGGCAGTCAAAACATGAAATTAAAGAACTGGCTATTCATAGTTTTTATATTTAAGTTAGTATACAAATTTAACAAAACATATAATTTTACTTAGCAAATATGTATTTTCTTCTTATGAAGGCACTTGATATAGCAGCTCAAGCAACTCAAGCATGCCATTATGAGGACTGGTGGTGGAAATTTCAATTAGGAAAATGTTATTTTAGGTATGCAGATGATTGACTGAATTTCTAATATACCTTAAAGTTGTAGAATTTTATGTTGATAAACCAATTATTATGATTTGAAACTTTACTATAACTTTTTTACATAGTCTTCACCAGAATGCAAATTAGTTACGGATTAACGTGCCAAGTGCTAGGAATTTTTTTAATCTGGTTACTCCTCATAAAATAAATAAAATCATCAGATCTCTCAAACACCCAAAAGCTCCATGTAGCGATGCAGTCAGCAGTCAGATGCTCAAGAACATGCCATTCAAAACTCTGTAAACTCTCGTGTATTTTTAACGCCTTTTTCTACAATCAGTACTTTCCATGTCATGGAAACATGCAAATATCTTTCTCATTTCCGAAACCAGAAAAAAAAAGCATGAAAATCCGGCAAACTACAGGCCCATTAGCCTGCGTTATCTATCAGCAAAATGTTTTAAAAGCTCATGGCAAAAGCATTTGACCGCGTCTGGCATCCAGGTCTGCTCTACAAACTTATCAGACTCGGCCTGCTTCGTGAACTGGTTTTGCTCATAAACTCTTTTCTAGAAAAGCGCATTTTCACTGTCAAACATGGAAAGGCAATTTCTACTGTAAAGAATATCCTAGCTGGTATTCCGCAAGGTAGCATCGTTGGGCCTTTATTTTACATAATTTACGTTAATGATTTCTCCAGCTTTCCAAATGACGTTAACATTCTCCTAGCCAGCTACGCCGATGGCATGGCAATTGTTTCCAAATCACGTCGACCGGACCATGCTCTGGCCAGACTGTAAGAGAAAATTCCAGCCATAGGAAAATGGTGGGGTTTTTGAAAAACCTGCATTCAGCCCTCAAAATCTAAAATTCTTCTCATCAGAAAGTATCGTAGACTCAACCAAATTAAAACTCAAGTCACCCTTTTGGCTCCCCAATCCCAAGGGGTCAGCAAAACAAGCTACCTCGGAGTTATCTTCAAAAGTAATTTCTCATGGAACGATCACAGGACTCAAGTATGTGGAAAGCCCTGCAAAATTATGTTTGGACTGTTCCCACTGTTGAAATATGAACAGCTATGTCTACATATGAAAAAGAGAGTCTTTCCGTTGGTCATTCGACTGATTCTCACATATGCTTCCCCTGCCTGGGCAAATGCAAAAGACAATGACTACAAAAACTTGAGTCCTTCAAAACAAGTTATTAAGAATTATCACCGGAGTCACTTTGTCAGAAATCGTAGTCTGCACTCGGATTTAAACTTAGAACAAATTCAAGAATTTGTTAATCGCATCAATGAAAAAGTCTTCAACAGAGTGATTAGCTACAACCTGGCTAATTTTGGTAATATCTTAAGTTACGAAATATTTGATGAAGATAAACTTCTTCGCCCATTTGCCGTTCACTTGTTACAGTCTACCTAAACCGATCAAAGAGAGCTCAGCTTACTCAGGTCTTACGTAATTAAATTTGATACTTTGCGTTTCTAGTGCTGTGAACATTCGGACTTTGCTACACTGCTACTTCTGGCTACCAGAAGCCAGCAAACTCACAGTGTTTTGATTGTTTTGTCCTTAAAAGAGCAGTTTTAAAATTTTGTTGCTGTACATAGGCTATCCCATATTATTTCTTCCTGTAATTTACTCAAGAAGCAGTCATTTCAAATTAATTGCTGTTTTGTCAGAACAGATGATATTTTATATTGTACATAGAATTTTTCTTTAATGTTTCTGTATACATGTAGTTTGTTTCGTATTGTATAGTAATTTGCAAGCTCACCATGTTTCGGGTTCTGCAAACCTCTTTGTGTGTCCCGTTAGCTTTCCCCACCTCCCTGTCCTTCTGCAGCTGCCCCAGACATGGCTTGCCTATCACTGACGCTCAGGGCTTTACTTCTCTCTCTCTCTCTCTCTCTCTCTTTTTTTTTTTTTTTTTTTTTTTTTTTTTTTTTTTTTTTAACAAGGCTATCTCAACTGGAGAAGCTTCATTTTTGGACTTTTACATATGTCAGGACCCTAAGAGGACTCATTCAGGAATCTGGAAAGAGCAGGAGTTGTGCATCTCCCGCTGCATGCCAGAGTAACCAACAAAGTATCAAAGACCACTTTAATCACTTGAAAAGTATATATGAAATTGACAGAAGAAGCAAAAAATGATGGCACAGGATTTTTTTTTCATTTTTAAGATGTAACTCTAGTAAACTCTTATATATTGCATAAAATGTGCCAAGAAAAATCTGAGCAAAAATCTCGGAAAGATTTTCGGCTAGAAATTGTCAGAGGATTGATAAACTTGGGCAAAAGTGATAATATTCCGAAGTGTAAAATTTCATTAACATCATTTGTTGCCATAAAAGTACACAAACCCCTTGTGCCACAAGCAAAAAAGTTGAAGCATTGTGAACATCTTTCTGTGCGATGTACACTAAGATGATGTGCATTATGCAGCATGGAAAAGAAACAAAAAAGAACAAAATGGATGTGTGCCACATGCAATATTCCTTTATGTATGCAAACAAAAAGTGAAACATGTTTCAAGAAATTTTATTCACAGTAGGATTTCATGGATTAATTATAACTCATATCGAGTATTGCAGTTTTATGTATAATATTTTAACCTCATTTTTTATTATTTGCTACAATAACTTAAAATTTTATAATCTCAAAAAATTAATTGTAAAATAAATACTACTATTTTTTCTGATGAACATTCAGCAATATATTCCAAAAGACATCTATCTATATATCATATTTAAAATTCTTTTGTTGTTATTAGTTATATAAATTTTCTTTGTAAATAGATCACAGAAACATTTAGCACTTCTTTTTCCATTACAAATAAATTATTATTTGTTTCATTATACACTTACATTTTATTGTTTCATTATACACATACATTTTAAAAGAATATCAATTTTTTAAAAATTTTATATGGTAATATTAACAAAATAGCAAAAACCTGTGTTTGGAAAAAAAAAAAAAAGTTTGAAAGGTAGTTTTGCAGTACCCATGAGCCTGTTAATTGGAAAAAAAAAAAAAAAGAGGGGGGCTTCGAGGCATGTTAGTACTTCACTTCTATTAAAGAGGTATTCTGAGCTAAATTATATATTACTACGTTATTTATCTAAAACTGAAAATTGAAATAAAGGCTTTGAGGTGTATCAAATAGTAAAATCGTTAAACAACTTTTTTCCTAAACAAAGTGTTATATTACAACCTATATTTACAAAAATTTAGAAAGGAGCTCTTATGGGGCCCGATAATCAAAAGTGTGTAGGGGCAATTCTTGGTACCATGGCATGAAGCATGCTCATTTTATATATTATCTAAAGCATAAAATATAATAACTTCGAAAATGTAACAATTTTTCAGCTGAGTTGTAGTGTTTCATTTTTCAATTGTTTATTTTTCACCTTGTAACATTATACTAGTTCAATTACAGCATGATACGGCGTTATATTTGCTAAAAGTTTTTATAAAATAATAATATTGAATTTAAATCACTTTCAAAGTCTTTTTACCCATATTTTACATAAGTATGTTCAGCTGAATGGGATCATCAAAGTGCATAAAATCATAAATTTTATTTTTAAAATTTTAAATTTCTAGCAAAATTTTGAAAGTTTTTTTGACTTTAGATTTACATAACTATATTCAAGCAGTCATCTCTATAGATGCACATCAAAAGTACACAAAAATAAATGAAAAATACCAAAATTAACAATTGGCAGCTATCTGAAAAAGAAGAATGTCTTAGAGGGACATTGGTATAAAATATACACTTCCCTCAAAATTCAGGATTTCTAGATTTTTTTTAAAGTCTTAATTTTGTGTTTTTAGGGTCCATAAGTTACAATTCATGCAAAATTTTACCACAATTTAAATTATTTTACATACCATCCCTCAAAGCGTTAAAGAGTTCAAAGCTCAATCAATTTTAATCTTTGTAAAACTTTGTCATCTTAATTCAGACAGAACAACAACTCACTTGTCAGTCTAGTGAGGTCAGAAGGACATTGCTTTAAGCTTCTATATGTAGCAGAACTTTAGAAAATTACATATATAATTTCCTCCTGATGTTTATCCTGGCTATGTATTTAATCCTTTATGTACAGATTGGATTCTGAAATAATTTAAAACCCATAGCTTTCATAGTGTGAAAGGTGTCACCTTCTGTGAGGATGTATAAACCACAAGACCAGTTGTACATATCCAAATGATCAGAAGGTTGTTGATGCGTGTTCCTTGATCTATTGCACCAAGATATTTTACTGTACATTTATTTACAATTTATTTACAAGTCGTATGCCACCGGGCATATTTACAAGCGTTATGCCTCCTGGCATGTGAATTGATACATCATACTAGTTTTCTGCCACCTGACAGATACGATGCAATTACCTCAATTAGCGGTAATACGCCCGACATTTTGGCGTGTCCGCTTCCCTTACGTTCTGTAACGCAACTAACTCTTTGTGCGGTGCGCCCTCTGGGCACAAATCACCGCAATCACCGAGGAGGCCAAAACACCCGTCACTTTTTTTCTGTTTTTTTTTCTAACAATATTGCCATAATTCACCAATTCAAAAAATTAATTTCAGGATTTTTTATACAAAATTTACTTTTTATCTCCTTCGTACAAAAAATAAATATACAGTACAAAGTCTGTAATCCAGACGTCCATTATCCGGAATGATCTATAATCCGGACCTCAAAGCCACAAACTTTCTCATGCGCATTTACACATGCGTGCTTCCGATAGTGGAGAAAGTGACAAAGATAAAACGAAAACGGAAAAATTTCGATTGACAATTTAATCGGTATTCTCGACACAGCAATTACAGGACTTGAACAGTGGAACTTTGTGTAACCGAACAAGAAATTATGTCTGTTTATAGAATTAAAGAGAAAGTATTAGCACAAAAAATGAAGCAACTTACACTGAAAGAAATGTTTAATAAAGTAAACAAATAAATATTAAGCCTGTTTTTTTTTTTTTTTTTTTTTTTTTTTTAAATTTTGATACTCTTTAGATCATAAATGCTCTTTATTTAATAAATTACAGTTTCATGTTTTTAATTGTATAATTTTTGGATGCCATCTTACCAGATTTAAATTGATGATCTCCGGAAAAAACCTTAATCTGGAATCGCCGAAGTCCCGACGAGTCCGGATTATGGACTTTGTACTGTATTAATATTCTCTGTTTCATTTATGTTTTTAATAAAAATAAAACTTACTGACTTTTTTTCATCTCTGTACCTTTACAGACTAATTCTAAATTGTTTTTACAAATTAAGAGAGGTGATAGTACTCATCCAGATGAGCAATAATTACCATAAAATATAGGGTCGCATTTCACTCTGAGAAGCATAGCATTCCAACTTGAATTTACAACAGTGTTGGAAGAGCAAATGATCGAGACCAAAAGTTGCACTTTCAATTTAGTGAAAAACTCGCAGATAGTGCGCAAAATGGATAAAACCAAAAATTTGTCGTTCAAGTGTTAATTTGAGCTCAGACTTTGATGGCAAACACTCAGATGCACATCTATGGTTGGCAAGGTCTCAACCTTGAAAACGATTGCAACAAGGTAATTATCTAATCAAGGGCTGAATATTATCAACTAACTCCAACGTCCGAGATTAACATGAAAATTTCATACTGTGTTCTGGCTATCACTTCAAGTAGAATCAGCGCAGTACAGTAAGTCCAGGAGGACAGGATAGAAGATGGAGAAGGAGAAAAAACTGTTACCTTGATACTTGATATCAGGTTAGCAGTTTTTCCTTCCCTCGTAGATAATTTCCCCCTAATAATTTAGATAATGAACTTGTTGCAATCGTTTGCGAGGTTGAGACCTTGCCAACCAAAGATGTGCATTTGAGTTTTTGCCATCAAGGTCTGAGCTCAAATTAACACTTGAACAAGAAATTTTTGGTTTATCCATTTTAAGTGCTCTCTATGAGTTTTTCACTAAAGTTCATTCACTCTCCCAACATTGATGTAAGTTCAGGTTGGAATTATAATTTTTCTCTTTTCTGCCTCTCAGAGTGGAATGCGACCCTATGTTCTATGGTAATTATTGCTCATCTGGATGAGTACTATCGCCCCTCTTAATTTGTAAAAGCAATTTAGAATCACCTTGTATATATATCCATATTGCTAAACTATTTAAAACATTCTCGGGACGTAGCATTTCAAGTTTAGAGATTCTTTGTTTTTTTCATTACTCTGTAGTTTTAAATATTAATTTAGGATATTTTACTTAACTCGCAAAATAATATTCCTGTATAATATGAATTAAATTGTTTTTCTTTAGATATTATTAATATATAATCATTGTGAATTAAACTAATGATGTCTTTAAAATTTTATTAAATATGTATATTTTCTTTTCTAAAGTATTTTCTGAATTATTTTTGGAATTTCAGATTTGGCATGTTTCGTGATGCTGAAAAACAGTTTAAGTCAGCCATTAAACAACAGGATATGATTGATTCTTACTTATGGATGGCAAAGGTACTTTAATTTCATGTGTGTATTAACATTTTACTTATTAAGTTATTAACGGAAAGTTTATGTGTAATATTAAGATTTTATTACAGAGTTTAGATCTGTTAAAATATGATTTGCCTTATATAATTCAAATTGATCTCATATAAAAAGAGGCATTTACACTACATTATGAATTAAATGCCCGGTTTGTAAACTACTGAATAAAAGCAGGTGTAAATGGCAATAACATCAAGCATTTCTTATGAAACCCTAAAAAGTAACAATATTAGGGCAATAAAGAAATGTTGCAATGGAAGCAATGCAGATATTTCTTTCAGTACAATCTGCAGAAGTACTGATATAAAAAAAAAAAAAAATTAAAAAGAGGGAAAGAAACTTTAAAATCTTTCGATATTTACACTAAACTCAATATCAGTTTATTTTGTTTTATTTGTTCTATTTTAAATGCCTCCCCCGAAATGGCTTGGTTGATTAATTACTTTTAATTAACTGAATCAAACGGTACTCTTTTTTTTAAATATTTTTCTAGGTATATATTGCTTTAGATCAACCATTAGCTGCTTTGGGTGTTTATAAGCAAGGACTAGAAAAATTTCCGGAAGAAATATTTCTAATGATCCACACTGCACGTATTTATGAGGTAATGTTCAGTTTTGCTTAAAAAATGTACTTTGACTTAAATCTACTGATAAAATAACTGTTTTCCACTTATAGGGATTAAACGATTTAGATTTATCTGTTAAATACTACAAAGACGTTTTGAGTTATGAAGCTATTGATGTGGAAGCCATTGCTTGTATTGCCGCTCATCATTTTTATTCTGACCAGCCAGAAGTTGCATTATGCTATTACAGGTAATTTAATGCATATTATGTAATGATTTTCTACTTTACTTTTTTAAAATTATATTTACGTTCATTTAATATCAAAAAATGTATTGTAAATTTAGTTGCAACACTTTTTTTTTTCTATTTTTTTAATTAACTAAATAAAAAGTATTGATAAATGACATTTTTTAGATGAGATAGGAATGTAATGTATTGTTATTCTTGTTACACGAAATTCTGTTAACTTATTTAAAAATATGTTTTCTGCATTTTTTTAAAACTTTTATTTATTGTAACAAAATAATAGTAATACTATATCAGAGCATGTATTTTAATTCAGCTGTTCTTTCAATTAAACGTACCATTCTGCTGAATAAACTGACTTTCTAATTTCAGAATTAACTGCGTAATACAAATTTTATATAATTTAAAAGATTTTTTTAAAATAGAAAAGGTCTGGTATTAGAAAAATAAAATAATTATAACAGTTTGAGTTAGTATGACTCTCTTGTTTTGTTTGTAGTTAATGCAAATTGAATAATTTATTTATTGTTCCTCTAGTATAGAACTATTCAAGTGTAACAAATAACTCCTATGTATACATTTTAGTTTAAAAAATGTTTTTAAATTTATCATCTAATCAAAAAATTAATTATTGTGCACTTTTTGCTTTACAAAATAATACGTACTATTAAATACGTACATAACTCTTAGTTTTAAGAAGCCCCACCAGTGACCAAGTTGTTAAGATTGCTGAATGGTCATAGTTCATCCTGGATCCTAAGCCAAGTGAACAGGCTGGCTGCAAGGTTGGTTTTCATGGTTTTTCACATGTATAATGTGAACATGAGTTAGTTTACCATGAAAAGTATTCCACAAGTTATCCCTCCCTTTAGGCAGATTGCCTTCATAAGTTTTCTATATTCCAGTAACCTAAATAATCTTTAATGTTAAGTTTCAAATTCTCCATTTTAAACTTTTGCATCGAGATGTACTTAGGTACCAGTGTGGAATATTTACATAGTTTTCCTTTTTATGATTTTATTCAAACCCAATATTAGAAAATTTTGCAAGCTCTTTATCATTGAATTAAAATAAGCTTGAACTTGTTTTACTTTAGTGACAGAGTTAACTAACAATTATTATCAAATAATAACTAATTTAAAAATATAAACTATATATTAAAACATATAAATACTATTTTTTGTAAACTATTGCTAGCTTATTATAATAGCTACGGATGCTGCACATATCCTATGCAAAACTGCAACTGATCTTAAATATTTTCTTTATTCTCTCTTTGATTCTATGTTTTTATGAGTGGCATAAAAGAAAAAATCCCATGCCTTGAGTTCTCATCATTGATCATTCTATGTTGAAACTTGAAGAATAGTCATAAAAGAGTGGATAGAAAGCAACCAAAAATTAGCCGATCCCTAGATGTTACAGCAAAATTAACATCAGTTTCACACTACTAATACCAAATGCCATGCTGCACTTTTAATGTTCCTAATATTGTGTAATTCTTATATAAATAAGAAAATAAAACGAAATAAATATGCAGGTCCATTTCTATGTAGTACATTGCTCTTTTAGATATTGTAAAATTATAACTTGAAATCAAAATAATGTAAAATCTTTATAATGCATGCTTGCCTTAATATACCCACTAACATTAAGGTATTAATTTTACAAATTTTAGCTGATCTGTAGATGTTACAGATAAGATGATTTATTTTTAGATAAAATTGTTTTTTAGAATTAAAAGACATTTTAAAGTTAATTGATAAATTTATTGCATGTTTCTCAGCTAAATATAACATTTGTTTGAGAGTAAAATAGTCTAACATGTTAACATAAATCCGTAATGGCTTTATATATATTATATATATGTAACTTGGTAATAAAGGTTTTTATAAAAGGTAACCTGAAAACTTTAAAATGCTGTTTTTCAAAAAAATCTAAGTAAATATATATTTTTTGTCTAGAAAAAGAAAAATGTTTTTTAAATTATGAAATGAATAATAAATTATCTTAATTTTTTAATATTAGGTTGCACATGAATGAATTATTAATTTTAGGTTAAATTATTAATGAATTTTAATATTAGGTTGCACATGAATGAATTATTAATTTTAAGTTAAATTATTAATGAATTTTACTATTAGGTTGCACATGAATGAATGTAGCAGTTGCACAAAAGAATGTGTTGCAAAATAAATGTAGCTTTCAAAAAGGTAGTTTGAAGAGGAAGCATAATATTTAGTCTAATTACCTTTTTAAATAATATTACCTTTTCTTCTAAAGGAACTGTGTATGATTTTGCATTATTTAATTAATGGTTGTCTTGAATTATTTTAAAATTTCTGTTTTCATATGTCAGATTTGTTTTTGTAAAATGAACTTTCACTTTAATTAACAGGAGACTATTACAGATGGGTGTGTGTAACAGCGAGCTGTATAACAATCTAGCACTTTGTTGCTTTTATTCCCAGCAGAATGATATGGCTGTTGTGTGCTTCGAAAGAGCTTTAGCCCTGGCTACTGATGAAACTTTGCCAGATGTCTGGTATAATATTGGTCACTTAGCATTGGTAATTAAGTTTTTCCTTCGTAGTTATTTGTATATTAATGATCAATTCAAAAATTAGTATTAGTACAGCATTTTTCTTATTTGTTATTTTTTGTTTGGAAACAAGGAGTGCTCCTACTTTATTTCTATATTTTTTGGAAATATTCATATTTATAAATTCATTAGGAACAAATGGTCCATATTGTTTTTTCCCGAAAATTGCCTTAATAAATTTTTCAGATGTTTTTCTAATGTCAAAGAAAATGGTTAAAAATATCACAAAGAATTTTTTTCTTTCAAATTTAATAATTGTATTTTTGGTTATTTCATGCTGAGCAAAATATTATAAAATTCGTAATTTAGATAGATTACATATTCTGCCTCTAAAATATGAGTCATTCTGCTACACAATGACATACAATACTGGTCTGGCATAGCAATGTAACTGTGGCATGTCTTATTTGTAAAATAATATTAGTGATTTTATACAAATCTTGATTAGTGAGTCTCTTAATAATGTAGCTCTTCTAAACGTGATTATAGTATAAGAAATTGCTGTATCTGAGTTACAGAATATCAATAAGAGTGAAGTAAAACCTGGTGCGTGTAGAAGAATATCATTTCGCATTATTTCACTTTGAAGGATGGTTGAAATTTGATGAAAACCACTTTGCTGTTTTATCTCCCTAAAAATTTCCTCATTGCAGCTTGTGACAAAAATGGATGTTCTTGGACATATGTGCATTACAGGATATTTACACTCTTGCTTTACAGTAACAGTTTCTTCCAAGATGATAATGCCATGTGCTGTTTTGCTCCAGTAATAAACATGTAATTTTAGGAACATACACAGTTAAATTAAAACTCTTATGGAAGTAATTATATTGAGTTTATACAGTGTGACAATAAAGATATTAACTAAATTTCTGAATTCTTTTCATAAATATATTTACTTTATTCTGAATCCTTTTCATAAAGATATTTACTTTGAAAATTTAGTTAATATCTTTAAATAATAAGATTGGATTTTTATATAAAATTTGCAGAACTTACACTGCAATATATTATTTGAAATATGATCTTCCTGCTTTAATGCAAGTAGTGGCTTGATCAGGTAACAAAAGGAGACTTGCAAAGATTTATTTTTGGTATGGCTTGAAAAAGCATATGTCACAGTTCTTTATATCACTTCATTGGCACTATTGTCAGAATGGATTCTTATACCACTTGCTTTAATATATCATTTGGCATTATAATGCTTATTTTCTCCAAAATAGTAAAAGATGAGCTATTGTTAAGTTGCAGATGATCTTTGGAGTCATCAGTTAAGCATTCTATACTTAACATTTTTGCCAATGTGTTTTCAAAGGCTAATGTATGAATCACATATTCTTTCCTATCATAATTAAAAAAAAGGCTTGTTTCATGCAATATGTATTCTACAAGAATAAATATTTATTATGCATATTCTATTTTAAATTGAATATTGTATTCATGTTGGTTTTCAGTAAAGTTATTGTTAAATTTAATGCCTTATTAAAAAGATAAAAAATATTAAATTAAATTGAATCTATTCATGTAAATTTGTACAACAGAAATGTTAATTATAACTTTTAAAATATAGTCTTTTAATTAATGAGTTTAATTATTTCATTTATTTTTTATTTCGTACTCAAAATTTGTATATTCTGAATCCTTTTCATAAAGATATTTACTTTGAAAATTTAGTTAATATCTTTATTATTTACTAGAATTTGTTAGAAATGTTTTATCATTTGCTAGAATTTGTTTTTCTTTTAATAACTCATCTTAAAGTAAGATTAGATGAAGTTATACATGGGAGGACAAGGAATATTTTTATTTTGAATTACCAGAAATTTTATGAACAGTTTAATGTGCTTTTCTGATATTTGGATAGGGATTATCAATGTGTTTTTTCATCATAGGGTATTGGAGACAAAAATCTTGCAATTCAGTGCCTTAGACTTGCTTTGGTTGCCAATAATGACCACGCAGAATCTTACAATAATTTAGGTGTTATTGAAGGTACAAAAGGAAATTTAGATCAGGTAGGAAAAATAAAATTTATTTGGAACAATACTTAGTGTAATAAAATTTTTATGTCAATAAAATATTTGTAAGAAGATGCACAAGGATTATAGTTCTTCTTTTTGTGAATCTTGTATCCTACTTTTTTATTATTTCTCATTTATAAATTATTAAAATATTGTAATGTTTAGTTTGAGAAGTTCTACACTTTTGTATCAAAATGAGAATTTATAGTGATTAATTTTAAAAAAAATTTAAAGATCACAGACTCAATGTATATTACAAAAAGATGCGTGGGCCATTGACTGAAATCCTCTGGAATTTGAAACTTTTTTCTTCAACTGGATTCTGCATTAAGGTATATTTACTAGTCCATCACAATGTTCTTTCACAGTATTTAAAAATTATGTGCAAATGAACAGAACGGAAATGTCGTAAGATTGACTTGAGTATATAATTCAATGCCAAAAAAAAAAAAAAATAACAATGAAATATAGATATATTGCAAAATTAATTACAGATTGAAACTCAAATTTTTCATGATCAAGTACAGAATTCCTAATCTTAAAGTTTCTAGAGAATTCTCTGCTATTGCACTGTCAGTCTGCGTGAAGATCTCACTTCTAGTATGAGAAATGCTGAATAAATTTGATCTAGAATAAATTGATTCTTGAGCAGAATGAAAAATAAACAGGATTAAATACATAATTATCAATGCACATTTTGATAGTTCTCAACCTTTTGACTGTATTTTCGATTGTAGAACCATAGTTGATAATTCGTGTAAATGCAGAGTATTGTGAGTTCTTTATTTTACTAAAGAAGTTGTACACTGTAGTTAGAATATGATCAGAAAGAGTTCAGACTTTTAATTCGGTGTGTATATGGGAATTTCTCAAGTACCGGGAAGAGTTAAGTATCGTATAGATGATTTTAATTTCGAAAATTTTCCCCTGCAGTTGTCCATACAGCAATTCCGTATAAAAGTATTGTGCAGATCAGCACAAGGTTCAGTGTTCGCTTAATTCTGAGATATAGCTTGGATTCCTCCCCCCCCCATCTTTATATATATAAGCCGCTAAAGTGTGTGTCGCTGATAGTTTATTGTTGCCACTCGGAAAAATGAGCACGGAAATTAACATTTCTGTAGTTTTTAATTAATATCTCGGCCGATTAAAGACATACGAAAATGAGAACGGTATCGATGGATTCGGAGAATTTTTTGGAATCCGAGGATACGTGTCTCGAATTTCAACTCGGCGCCGTTCCGTAGATATTCGAGAAAAACGAATTTGGCACGTAGCCAAATCCCTGGAATAGGGAAAACCCAAGAAAGAAAGCGGAAAATGTACAGAAAACTTAGGGGAAAAGTAGTTTTTAATTAATATCTCGGCTAATTAAAATCCCAAGAAGACGCGAATGGTCAAAATGGCATGCCACGGACCTGCGGAATCCAACGGTGTGCTTCGCTAAGTCCAGGAGCCAGCTGTTCGGAGGAGATGATGATACTTCACCCATATATATATATATATATATATTATGCGGTTAAGTGTCTGTTTGTCGCTGATATTTTTGGTGCTTTTGCGTACTGTACTAGCCAATGGGGGTGAAGTTGCCAGGCACAGGGTTGCCGTTTCAATGAGACATAGACAATTTCTTGTAAAATTTGCCTTTGCTATGACCATCCATAAGTCTCAGGGCCAAACGCTTAAGCGTGTTGGCATTTTTTTACTGAGCCTGTATTTGGACACGGTCAACTTAATGTTGCCTGTTCAAGAGTTCGTGAAAGAACGAACGTAAAATTAAAAATAATTGACGGTCCTCTGCAAGGCGAGCTTAAAAATGATGGAAAGATCTACACAAGGTACAAAGAGATCTTTGACATATGAATTAAAATTTCATTATTTAAATCACCTTTATTGATTGGGCTGTCGGTAGGCTCTTAAGAAATGTACCGCCAGTGGTTTCCCTCATTGTACTCTACTTTAAGCAATTAAGCAAGTAGAAGGGAGAAACCCTGTGGGGAAGTAAGCAAAACGGCGTCCTCGCCACCTGCCCTGGGTAATTTCAGTTTAAATTAGCAGACACCTTTGCACAAATCATTTTAATTACAATTTATAATATCTAGAACCGTGGTCATTTCGTATGACTGCCAGGCTTTCTAGTTACATTATAAATGGATATATAAGCTCCATTTGCTTAGTTTAAAGCAGCAGTGATGTTATGTTTGAAATTTAGTCAATTGTTGATAATTTCTCCAAAGTATTAATAGTTTTTCACAGGAAGTATATTGCTATCAATGACAATGTCCATATTAATCCTGATATTCTTTAGAGAGCAACACATTAGCTTGAAGGAATGTAAATGCATTTTCCGTAGTTTACACCAGTGTGCAACTATTTCACATATAGTTGAAGATTATGGTTGTCAAGCTGAGGATTTTTTGATCTCACAAGTGTTGCAATGTTGTCTGCATATTTTAAGACTTTAATGTGAGTGGAATTGGAAATTCATTTATAAATATTGTTGCGTGCGTACGGGTTCGTTATGAAATGAATGCACAAGTCCGATGAAAAATGAACAAAAATTTATTATTATCACAACAAAAATGCTTAAATTTTCTCAAATTATCATGCAGTATTACAATATCTCACAGTAGTTATTTTTAAACTACTCAAATGTCCAATAGAACGTAATTCAAAACGGCTAAAGAACGCTAATCCGCGAATTCGCTACAATCAACAAGAGCAGTTTTCTAAACAACAACAAACTAAGCAACTACTGCAAACTGAGATGTTTTCCTCCTTTTATAAGATTTTAAAATCACGCGCTAGAATTTTCCAGTACTTTCTCGAAATCAAAAAGAGATATTTATTTATTTAATGCACCCGCTCTTGTATTTTCAATTTTCCGGCTTAGCTTTCTTTTAATATCCATCACGCGCTGCACAGCACTAGAAATAAAACCATTTAATTTATAATTGAACTAACATTAGCTTTTTAAATACCAAATTCGTAACACTGCCCCCTTCCTAAGGACTGCACGTCCCGGGCAGTACAATCCCTGGACAGGAAGCTAAACTTACAACTGTGGCATACATGCATTAATAAGCATTACATTACAAAATGAACAACATGAACAATAAATGCAATAAATTAAAACAAATCAAATGCTATCAAATACAAATCAAATCAAATATACATTTAAAAACAAAAAGACCATGGTCTTATACTATTTACAATTATTTACATTACGTACTATGGCCATGTAATGAGCTAACCTGTCGTAAGAGTTCGAAGACTCACGGGGTCCGAACCACGACGTCATTCGTGTTCAGCCTGTTTAGGACTGTGTGGTGACCATCCCAATGTGACTGCAATTTAGGCCTGACTCCTTTTCATCGAATCGATTTCCACAACCACACCTTGTCTCCTTTGTTGGATCTATGTATAGTAGCTCTTGTGTCGCATCTGGTCTTCATTTTCTCCGTCGCCAAGTTGACTCGCTTTCGCGCAGAACGGTGCATCCCCTCAAACCAGGCCTGGGCATCTTGGATGTGTTCCTCAGGAGATGAAGGCGCATCCGTAGGGCGACTAAACAGGCGGTCACAAGGCAGATGAAGGTCTCGACCGAAGAGCTTCTGAGATGGAGAATAGCTGGTAGTCTTGCGTTTCTTTTCGACCCTAGTATGATTTCGGCAGCTTCCCGAGCTCGATCTTTCGGACAAGGCTTCGGCATTTCCAGGCGAGGATCCCTTTTGAGGATGGATAGTCATGCCATCAGATGCTGAAAGCAGCTTATTGTTTGAAATCTAAGGAAAAATTGTATTTCCTTAAAAAGTCCAATCCGAGTATGCATGGGTAATATCCGCCACGTATGCCTGTGTTCGTATGCCGTGTTGATGGTAGGCGGCACTTCCAAACGTGATGTTTACGTTTAACTTCCCAGTTATGTCGATCTTGTCACCAGACGCAGTCTGAGGGTAACACAGGATGGCATCCAAATAAGTTTATCTTTAACTGCTTTTCAGCTAAATCTTTCCTAATGATGGTAACATTAGCTCCTGTGTCAATGATCATATTGCAAAGGAACTCCATCGATATTCCCATTGATGGACAGTCCGTTATTGTTGCCACTCACTATAGAGATCTTAAGCGCTTTGAAACAGGGTTTTTTCATTATCTGGCAACCTCCGTTCCTTGATATGGTCATTAATTTGTTTCCTGCGTTGTTGCTCAGAAATTGTCTCAATTTTCGTACCCTGGGGTGTTCTGCAATTCTTTCGTACGTGGCCTTCAGCTCCACAGTTCCAGCACTTTGGTTTCTTGTCACTCCTTTTCCTTCCCGTGGCATTTAATTGTCTGTTTAAATCGTATGCCTTATTTTCCGTGCTCTGGGGAGTTCTGCAGTTCCTTCGTAGGTGGCCTTCAGAACCACATCTCCAACATCTTACAGCCACTTTGTTCTCACTGCTACTCCGTATCAAGCATCGACTTGTCTGGATAAATCATCTAAACGAGCCATCAATTGGTCCCCTGGGTCGTGGACTCGCACAGCCTGACTGAGGGTCTGGGTAGCATCTCTCTAAGAGTTGCTTGCTGGGCTGCCTCCAATTTCATGGCGTACAAACAGAGTGCTTTTTACATCCTTTACATCTGCCATTCGTAGAGCCTTCTGTATTCGGGATCCCAGATTCCATCGATGAAATATTGCAGGGACAGGATTTCTCTTGTTTCTGTCGGGCACTCCGAAAAAGCGTAATGTGACAGCCTTTCAACATCCGTGGCAAGCTCCTGAAGTGATTCGGTGAGCTTCTGCTTGACGGGATTTTAGTTGGAGCCTGCTGTAGTCTTTTAAACAACTTCTCGCCCAAAGCGCAGCTCCAATGGCGCCTGACAGAGCTTCGAAATCTAACTCTTTGGTTTTCTGGGAAGAGTCTGCAAGGATATCCGCTGCGTCGGCTCTTAGAGATCCCATCCATCTGACAGTCCCATCTAGCGTCGGAATCCCATCCATTCGC